CCACAGGACCGTCACCATCTACGCGCACATCCGACACCGGCGTCGCAGTAATGTCTCGATCGGGCATGCTCCCGATCGATGTACACATCACGATCAAGTCTGGTGGCGGGCCGGTTGTGGTTGGATCGTGATGGCCTTGGCACACGAGATCACGTGCAGCGACGCGAGCACCTGATTCGTGAGAGTGGACGTCGGCATCAAGCCATTGAGCGCCAAGCAGTCATTACGTAGGGTAGCACACGCAGCCATTGTTGCATTATCATAATAACAGGGCTCGCAGCGCTCGCAATGATTCATACCGTCGCCAAGTTCCCGCGCTGTGAGAGCTCCAAAAATGAGCTCAGCTGCCTGATGCTTCCGACCATCGTTCCATTGGTGTAGCAGGACACCCTTCCAATGGTTTCATTTCAAACCGAGAAAGTAACTGACGTGAATAATACACGTCCCATAACCATCCAGATGGAACCCAAGCACAAGCAGGCGTATGCCGAGGTGCCGCCCCAAGTTCAGATGGAGGTTGCCATGGATCGCTTAAGTCGCTATGTACGCGTTGAATTCAACCTCTCCGCCCCCCAGCCTACTGCATCGATGGGTCAGCCACCATTCCAGGCACCGGGATCAAACAGCAGAGCACGATGCAGGTGCGCAAAGATTGAGCTATGGATATAGAGAATCGTTCGTTTAGTCACTTGGCGCCATTTCAGCAAAAGAAGATCGTGCGCAACATAGATGTAAGCCTCTGCATTGCTTGATGTCATTGATTGAGTCAAGTATAGGACCTCCACCTCAAATCAATTGCCGTAATCGGCGTCAGCGGCATTGGGGGCATCGTTGCTGAAATGTTCGCACGCTCCAACGTTAGCAAGCTCACCCTCGCGGACAAAGGTACCGCAACAGCCGCTGCAGCCATCGCTTGTATCGCCGATCAATAGGCGTTGTCAAGATGGCGAGTATGGGACGCATGTTCCACACGGCCGATCAAGTTGGGATGAGTAAGGCGCAGGCTGCTCGACTGCACTTGCGCCGACTTAATCCGCAAGTAACAGTCGAAGCATTCCACTGCGACGTCACCGATGGTTCGTTATACATCAATGAAACCATGGGTCGAGCAATGCCAGCAGATTTGGACTACGATGCCCTGCTTGCAATCTTGCAAGATGTGAAGACGCGCTACCGCGATGATGACGACCGTGCAGCCAATATCGGAGCAGACATTATCATAAGTTCGCTGGACAACCAACCTGCGCGGCTTCGCGTTAACCAGGTCATGCAAACTACTCTTCCACAGGCATTGCATCTCACGTATCGTCGCACTAGATGGCACTGCAACTGAGTATTCCGCTTGTCGATGTGGCTTTGTCTCCGTGCAGCTCCTACATTTCAATCCAGTCCGTGTTTCCAGGCTACAGTGCATGCTACCAGGTTCTTGTGTCCATTCCTCGTTATGATTACCTCAAATGAACTGAGGGCAGTGCCACCGGTCGGCTACCAGTTCGCATGACGATGAAGCGACACTTGCGGACGCGATCGCGCAACTACATCCCGCGACATTGCCACAGACGGAGCTTTTGGCCGCTGGATTGGTTTCCCAATGCGCCTTGAAGTGGCAAATAAAAGCGTCACAAACGCAACGTACTCATACTGTTGTAGACTCCTCCTCGAGTTTGGGGACGCCATTCCGTTCTATCGCGTTGACTGTTTGGAGCTTGCTGTCTCGACCTTTTGGTTCCGGCCCAGCTCCGAGTGTAGCGAAGATCTTTGCAAAGTCCGTCAAGCAGAATACAAGGCCGAGATCATTCGTCGCAACATCGCTGGTATTCAACCAACCGACGACACCTCATTGTAGGTCTCTGGTTAAAAAGCACCTTGAAACAACTTTTTCAGTCTTTTCGCCCCCGTAGCAACCAAGCTCAAGATGTGAGCCTGCTCCTTCCCTATTTGAGCTCCGCTTGTGAGCACAATTCTTGGAATAAACACTTTGACTGTACGTAGCATTGCGTTGGTTGGCTGAAGAACGATGGCGCGAGCGATATCGAGCTTGGCTTTGTCAAAGTCGCCTGCTCGCACATACGCCTGGCTACGGCGATACCATGCCTTAACATTTGATGGGTCGAGCTGCAGTGCCTAGATTACTCAGTCGAAGTGAGCCAGAGCACTCAAATGGATGTGACCTTGGAGCAATGGTCCTCACACTCGGTGGCTGCAAATATCTCCGGATCTTGTAGATGGCATGCAGCCGCGTTGACATGCAGAATGGCCAGGTGCTGGCGCAGCAGCTCGACCTCGGCAGGTGCCAACGTGCACAAGTCGGGGCAAGTGAGCAAACGGAGCCCCTAAGGAGCGAAGTGGTCGAAGGTAGATTCATGTTGAGTGCGAAGCCTACTTGCTCGTAGCATGCCTTGGCCCTGACAAACTGCTTGGCCTGGAAGGCTGCATTGCCGTCGACTTTCCACACTTCCGCCAGCTCGACCTTGGCCCTTGCGATGCCCATAGCAATATCATTCGCAGCAAATAGTGTGCGCCGAGCTCTCACCGTACTGGTAACATTGCTGATGTGGCATGGCAGCATATGAGTCGCAATCTCGCGAGCAATATTGCCTTTCATGGCATAGTACTTCGTCAGGTTTGTTGGCTAAAACTGGCGCTTTGGTCCATGCCGCGGCCGCGCTGGGGAGCAGCATCCGCAGTATCAAAACATACCATGTCTTGCCTCGCTTCAAATAGTGTTACTATTTGAATATAGTATAAGGCGGTGCATTTCTTTTGTTTGTGGCATGAGCAGCATCAACCTGGGCAACGTCGCCCTCGGGCGCAAGCTCCTCGACGAGCTGATGGCCAAGGGCGCTCCGGTTCCCCGCGAGTTTGTCATGGTGCAGGAGATGCTCGAAGCCTGCGAGCGCAACTCTCTTCAAGTGGCCGCCAACATTGCTGACGCCCGGCGCGAGAAGTCTCAAGCGCGGCTCAAGGGCAACGAAGCGCTTCTCAAGGAGCAGAACGACTTGTTTGAGAAGATTGCTGCCGCGTACAACTGCCTCGCAGCCACAGATGAGTGGACAAAGAAGTAACATCAACGAGACAGCGCGTGCATTAGTATTAGATGGGGATGCACTTGGATTCCCAGATACGGTTGCCAACGTACTGCAAGCGCAGCGACACATAGCGCAGCGCGATCCCCTGGAAGAGGAACGCCAGATAGCTGTCCTTCTGGAGCATCTCTTGAAACTTTTGCAGCGTCAAGACGTACACGATACTCGGTTCCGTCTGTAGCAGGCGTGCCATAAGCGCCCAGCCATGAGATAATGGAGACTACATACCGCGTACATCGACGTCTTGCGCTTCTCACCTGTCAAGAGACAGAGCTCGCCGATCAACGCACCCACCGGAATGTCCTCCTAAGCAATCGCAAAGTTGTCAGCCCAAGTTTTTGTATAAGGCGCGACTTACCGTCGTGCCGGCTTCCTCTTCGACGATTGCCTGAAGTCGACCCTCGGCCAAGATCATGGACGAGTTGGAGGAATCGCCCTGACGCCACACGCAAGTGCCGGCTTCGAGTACTTGACGCTCGAAGTACCCGAGGAGCGAGAGAATGACATCCGGTGACTCGTGCGGGCAGAGCACCTCCAGGCGCGAAATGAACGCCGGCTTCTCGGGCTGCGGCGAGAGCGACACGGGCGTGTGCAGAATCTTGTATTGCTGCAAAAGGCTGTTTTCGCACCACTCGATGGCGCCATTGAGATCGTTGGCCGCGTAGAAGCGGCAGCGCGACTTGGACGTGCCAAAAGACGCCACCATCGAGGTCTTGAAGCGTTCGTAGGCCGCAGGAATGGCAGTGAAGACGAGATGCACGTCATGGGCCGCGCAGACGTGCCTAGCCACATCGTACATGTGAGATACATTTGAAGTAAACCCTCAAGGCGCACTTGAGCTTCGTCAAGCGATCGGCAGCAGACGAGTCGAGTGCGACGACCAGTGTGAAATCCACGACGAGGTACTCCAGATGCGGCGAATCATCGAGGATTTTGGCCACGTACTCGGAGAGTTTGTGGATGTTACCAAAAAACAAGTGGCCCTAAATGCAAGAATCAGTGTGCTCCAAACAAGTAACGTGTCACACCTTGAGCTGGACGACGTGGACGTTGCGCATCATGCAATCGAGTATCTCCAAGTCTGCTGTCGAGCGCCACGCCGTGCTACGCAGCGTCGCCGCCGACATACTGCCCCGCAAGGGGCCTGCCGGCGCGCTCTGTACCACAAATGTAATGCACGCGAGAAGCGCTCCCACCGCCAGGCCTATCGCCATGAGCCGACGACGTGTGGATGTGATCATACCTTCGTTCATGCCCCAAAAGGTCATCGTGAGGGCGATAATCCAGACATTCGTGTACTCGAAGAGATCGAGCTCGTGATACGTGTCGACGACGGCTTCCTTGCACAAGTCGAGACCAACGTGAATCATGAGGCAGCCGGCCATGCACCGGGGCACGTATGCCACGGCGCTTGGGCCAGTGAAGAAAAAGATGCTCAGAATGGCGCCGATCAAGAACGACTGGATGCGACCGCCGCCGCCGCACTTGTAGTAGAGCGCAGACGTCGAGTAGCAAAGGTAGTTTTGTACACTGCCGCACGCTCCGCCAAGCGTGTTGGAGATGCCCTATGCACGATGTCAGAGTACATGCCAGATAAAAATGCAGGTACGTGGGCCTTGAGCTCTTCATTGATGTCGACTTCAAGGCCCGTCGTGAGACTCAAGGACGGAATGTTGATCGGAACGTGCATGAGCGAGAAGAGACTAAGGCCCACGAGCGTGCCCATTTGCTTGGGGATAACGGACCATTCGACGAGCGAGAAGTCATAGTACGTCCAAAGGGCGTAGAAGGGCACTTGGGGCGGCTTGTCAAAGAACCAGCCGTTTGCGCGGGCCGTCTATGATGGCTTAACACAAGTTCTTTGATGTAGCAACAGCACGCACCTCAGCTGGAATACCGCAGAGGAGCAGGACAACGTAAAAGAGCGGCGGAATGGACACGAAGAAGAAGGGCGAGCAGAGAGGCGACTTGTTGAAACGGAGAAGAACGCCGAGGGCAAAGACGAGGATGACCGATACGATCCAAAGCCAGACGATATCGTTTTGGACGAGACGCACCAAACCGACGTACGTCCACTCGAACGAAACGCCGGTCGCGTTTTGGATCCCGCTCTGCACGACGAAGGCCCCTAGACTTTTTGAGTCCTTGTGGCCAAAGAAGATCATCATACCAATGCCGCCAATGGCGCCGATGATGATGTGCTTGGGGAAGAGGTATACGATAGAGCCGAGACGAAAGTGGCCCAACGCGTAAAAGAGAATTCCGACAATGATCGTCGAAAGCGCATACGTCACGAGAATGGTGGGCAGCGCCTTGGGCGAATCCATACCGACTTGGTTGAGAATCGACATGGACAGCGTGTGCATGAACGGAACATTCTCGACCATCATCATGCCCACGGAGCAATCAAACGAGCTTCGCGCTACGACAGAGGGTGAGATTCCGTGGACGAGGATGATACAATCGCGCACCCGCAAAGATGAACTGACAAAGCACGGTCGTGAGGAGGAACATTTGAATGCCGATCGCGCGGGGCGCCGGCATCTCGTCCCACTCGAGAGGAAAAAACGAAAGCCCGAACGGAATGCAAATCATAAGGTTCAGGAGCACGGCGATGAGGACACTCGGCAGCGACTTGACCACAGACATGGCCGTAACCTTCTCTTCGCGCATGCTTGGCTCCCGATGCAGCGCCGTGCCGTGCATCGAGCGCTCGAGCGGCGATGTGCACATGGAGATATCGTGATGGTCGTAGTCCATGCGAAGCGGCGGCGTCTTGAAGAGCGCCTTTTCGGTCCTGCGGTTCTGTTGCATGGCCGCCATGTCTGGCGCGGACCGCACTTGGGGCATGGTGAGGACGATGTCCTCGTCGGCCATCGCTGCGAGGTGCTCAGCTGACACGGACGTGCGGAGGAGCGACGTCTTCTCGTTCATCTTTGCAAATGAGCCCACGTCCCACGTCAAGGGCAAAGTGAGCTTTTCGTGGCACTTGAATTTCCGCACCCAGGACCCAATTTATTCCAGAAAGCCTATGGGCACCAGTTCGATACAAAAATCAAGTTATTTAATACAGTTGCGTCAGCGGCGTATCTCGCGCGCTGGGATAGCCAGCGAGTTGAAGTTTGAGTGGCGGGTCGAGTAACACCAAGTCATGGTGTCGGACCAGGCGGCGAGGGAGAGGGCGCTTGCCGCCATTCATCGATGACCCTTTGGACCACAGACGTGTCCCAAACCACGTTACGGCCAGGTGGTCTTCCCATGGATCCATTGCAAGTGGGTTCGACCAGCTTCTTGTGTTTCCGAGATCACAATGCATGGCCATGTAGCAGCATCACCTGTTCCATGCACAACCAGCTTGGCGGGACAGCCGTCTTCAGCTCTACACCGTCACCATGTACTAGTATGTGAATAATATATCCTACGCATGACCGTGTTTGGCCAAACACACGGTGCCGATCAGCGGCAGCGTGATCCACGCTCGTCGACACGGACACAGCACAAGCGCTGCCAACCGGAGCAATCCATTCAATTTCTTCCACGAGCTGCACGATCACATGCGTGTTTAAATCATGCGCTTAGTCGCTTGGGTCCGTCGCGCCATCCTCTTTATCGGGCTCGTGGCCAACGCTTGCCCAGTCGAGTACGCGGAGGCGGCGAGGCACGATAAGCTTGGAACCGAGACTGACTTCGCTCACAACGTACTTCAACTTTTCTCGCTTCATTGCAATGCGGTTGAAATCGGAGATGCTAAGCACATCAAGCGCCCACAGAGCTTGCTGCGCAAGATCTGACGTCTTCCAGTCCGTAGTCTTGGCCTAAAGTTTGGATCATAACGTCTGCAGGCATCTGCACTCGGCCAACCTTTTCCGCTTTGATTGCAATTTCGTCGGAATTTGGGTCGTCCGGAGGTGAAGCCATCATTTGCAGTTTGAGTGCATCAAGCTCCTCTTGTTCCGTTAGCCTCTTGATCACGACAGTCGGGGCTACGGGAGGCGGCACCGCGACAGGCACAGGGTCGTCTTTCTACAAGATAGTATCAATCATATCCTACCACGCAAACCTGATCCCGACCGCCGACGCAAGTTGAGTGTGGAACCCTCTGGAGCGCTTTAATAGCCGAATCGCGGCTTCGACACCGCCGTGCTGGCCAATGAGTTTGGACAAGCGCTCTACACACTCATTGGCAACTTGGATTGCCAAGGAATTGAAAGAACTTCGAACCATCGTGGGGACGTCCAGCCTCCTCGTCCGCCTCGAGTCGCTCCGGTGATACAAGGGCCACCATGAGACGGCACGCATGGACATAAATATCGGAATATGTCGAGGGAAAACGAGCAAGTGAGCGGCCAACAGCGGCGACGGCGTTCGTCACCAGAATCTCGTCGATACAGCGTGCAAAGTCTACACCGCACGATACAATCGCGATAATGAGAACTTCTCAAGTACCTTCATCGTCGCGCACAACACGGACGTGATTGTCAAGACGCTTGATGCCTGCCAATTGTACCTGGAAGTTGATATTGGTTAGTGCACATGTGGAACAGCATAATGTGGAGTTTTCGCACAATGGGTGATTCTTCATAGTCGTTCATCAATTCGACAATGACGCCGATAGAGGCCGACTCCATGCGCTTCACGGATTCGTCACCAGCGTACAAATCTATGGCAACGTGATCACTATCGGTATGCGTGTCGAAGTCGTCCTACTTTTGAAAATACTCTTGACGTCCTGGCAAATGAATGTGTCGAGAGCGTTTTCGTCCATGACTCGGTTAAGCACGGGGATCGACGCACTGTGGGCATAGATGTACTCCCGCGCATCCTTTATAACGGTGATCATGCGCAGGCAACGCAACGCCATGCTATCAAATTTCAGTGCTTGACGGATACCAAATGCATTGATGCGGGTGGTACCGCAAAAGCGAGGTTTGGTTGCGTGGAATGTCGTACTCTGCCACAGGCTCGTACAGATCTGGAAACGGGTCGGGCCGCCGCAATCGCGCAAAGAGCCCTACGAAACACGTAACACAAAGCGTATCGTTGCAATCGCACGTTTTTTCGTGTCAAACTCTGGGGCTGGTACCATGCTGCCGTACGTCTCGACAATGCGAAGCAGGACCACAATCGCGGCCTCGTTGTCCGCGACCAACTCGACTTCAGTCGACAACGCGTTCTCGTCCAACACGTTCATTTGATCAAGGACCGCGGCATTGTCTCTATCCGACGGTTTGATACCTTCGCCTTCTTCGCAAACTATGCAACGCAACGTGTCGAGCCAGCCACACTCTGCGCAGAAAAGCCGAAAGATCTTACTCTCCAAAAAGTACCGCGCCACTACACACACGCCACGTGAGAAACGCAGATGTATGCACGGTGCAGCGGACCATAGAGGTTCGGCTCGAGGAACGATGGGTATGTCTGAGCAATCTTGACGTGCGCTTGGATCTCGGACCGAAGCATCGAGACAGAACCGCCCATGGGCAGTTTCGATACCCAATGACATCCGGCAGACTGCTTTCCTCAGCATGGATTGGTAGATATGGACGTATTTTGACGAATCATCGGTGATAATTTTTATTGGGCAGCGCCCATTGGCCACGCGATTATGCGCCATCACACTCGACATGATTGGCAAATACACCGCTCAAGACACCCGTGCCGGAGCTTCCGGTGCGTCAAGTGCTCTGCTTGCGCCCGTCACCATGTCATGTAGCGAGACAACAAGGAGTACAAGAATCAGTCGTACTGGGACTCGCGCTTCGCCTCGTACGTATCGTGGTAGCCTTCGATCACTTTCTAACGTCGCGCGTAGCGAAGAGTCGTACGACTGGCTCGCACGCTACAACGACGTCGCCGATCTCATCGTGCAATATGTGCCCAAGAGCAGCCGTATTCTCATCGTACACTGCCTGTTCACACCTCTTCATCAAATCTAAGATCTCACTTGCTGGCGTGATGTACTTAGGTGGGTTGCGGCAACTCGACGTTCAGCGTGGATTTGGTACGTCGCACGACAATACAAGGTATTCATGACAAATTAACACCCTCACTGCTAGTACGATGCGGGCTACACCAACATCGTCAACCTCGACTTCTCCAGCGTCGTGATCGAGCGAATGAGTGCGAAATACACGGTATGCTGGATTCTACTTTGAATCGAGGCGATGAGCATTGCAACTGATTAGGAATCGCGCCCACTCATGCGCTGGGTTGTTGGCGACATGCTCAAGCTCTCCGAATCCTTTGGAGCAAGCTCCTTCGACGTCGTCATTGACAAAGCAGCCATGGATGCCCTCATGGTCCTCCTGTATGCAACGCTGTCTGATCTAATCTTCGTCGCAGGTGGAGGGCGGCGATACGTGGTCTCCTGCAGAGCACCTTCTTGCTCAAGCCCGCGATATGTGCACGGGAGTTCAGAAGGTCCTGAAACCCGATGGTCTCTTCATTCAAATCTCATTTGGCCAGCCCCATTTTCGCAAGCGCTTCCTCCTCGTAAGCCTTCAGAAGTTTCAGCCTATGAATTTGGTTGATGCTATAGGGTGATGCGCCCGAAGCTGACGTGAGCACGGCATACGGCTGGACGTACAAGTACCATAACATTCGTATGTCTTAACTCTACTCTCTCCTTGTACCTGACGCTAACCCATAGCGATTGGTCTCGGGTACTTCTTTTTCGTCATGCAAAAATAAGCCGCTGTGGCAATACAAAGTTGTACTGCTTGATGCATTCTCTCACTCGCATTAATTGGTGCCTGTCTCCAAATACTGACACAAGGTCGCGACAGGTTCGGCCAGCTCGAGCACGAGCGCATGGGCGAGGCGCACTTGAGTCTCCACAAGGCCCATACTCCAGTAAAGCACTATCGTGCCCATGCACAATACGAAGAAAATGGCAGCTTCGACTTGCTGTGGATCGCGTTTCAAGGGCCACGAGTTTATCTACGTTGGGTTTGCTCAGAAAGATCAGTTATTTCCACAATATGGCATAATACCACACTCGTCGTGGCAGCGATCAGCTAACCAAAATCAATGTCAGTGCCACAACATTGCATCAGAAGTCGCACCGGAACCGACGGAGGATCAATGACAGCTGTGAGTCGAGGGCTGTAGTAGAGCTCCATTGGCGTGCCATGGACAACGCCCGGTGGCGGTAGCACAGCGTGTTCAGCCACGAATGCCAGCACATCAGCGTCATAGCTCACTGCGCGGACTTGCACGACGACATCTTCGAGCGATCGATCGAGCGTCCGAGTGAAGGCCCCGAGCACATCTTCCCAAACCGTCAAGATGCTGATGAGCGCACCCCACTCGACTGTTTTGGCATTCTGTATGGATCGTCATCGGTCTGCAGAAAGTTTGCTCGCACCTGGAAGTCGCCGTGCACTGTCGAGACGAGAACGTCGTAGATCTTGGCAAACATTTCTGACGCTTCTTTTGCAAATGCCTGCTGCTTTGTGGCAGTCGCGACCTCGGTTTCTTGAAACTCTACTCGTGCTAGTAACCCTTTCATTCACGCACGACTTGCGTTTGACCTTGGAGGCTTTTCTGAAGCTTCTCGAGGCGGACACTGGCGGGGTCCCGCCAAGTGAGGACGACAAAGCGGTCCCGTTGGGGCAGCTGTGCCTCCGTCGACGCCTCTCTCTCCGCACTCTTTATTTGGCGCAGCCGAGCGTCCACTTCTCGGATCATCATTTCGTACCGGCTGCACGCGTCGCGCTGGTTGTTGCGCACTCCGATCCGCTTCATCTGGGTGTCGTTGACCATGTTGACAATCTGCCGCTTCGTGGAAGCTTGGGCCGCGCACATCGCTGCCCATAACGGAGCAATGTTGCACCTACATCGAGATAGTCGCTGCATGTATTCGGGAAGGGATACAAAGAGTACCGGAGGGCATTGCCGTAGTCAGAGTGGGCATGCGCGGCGATCTCGAGGCTTGCAAGCGCTTGGTCCCATGCCTTGTGGACAGATGGACCTTCGAGAGGTCCGAGGGTCCAATTCGCAGAAAGAAGCTGCTGCAGTCGCTTCGCGTGGGCTTCGTGTAAGGTTTGGAGCAGCTGAAAAATCTACCAAAGGCTCGTGATACAAAGCGTGCTGCGAACGCTATCGAAAACCTCGGCTAACTTGGCAGTAACGTCCCCGTCATTTCTCATTTGCGTCGCCACGCTGGTGAGGGAGGCGACAGATGCGTCAGACGACCCGTCGCCAGGTGTGTTTTCAAACGTTGGCATGCTCATGGATGACTACCGGAATACCAAGTCAGATCCCAAAGATGCACAAGCAAGCACCTCCAGTCCTTGACGCACGTCGACAAAAAATGTGTCTGCGGCTAGCGACAGAGAGCGCGCCAGCTTGACGTAGACCTTGGCAAATGGGCCGAGAACTTTTCCTTGGAGACACTCGACTCGGTGCTCCTCAATATGATGCAACTAGTTCACAGCAGCTCCAGTACATACATTGAGCTTGACATCGTACCTCAGCAAGCTTCGTGAGGATGAGGAGGCGGTGGGCATCTCGATTGCAAAGAACGTCCGCGTGGGCCGTCGCATAGACCGTTTGGGCCTCTCTGACGTCCGAGAGACTCTTCGAAAGCCGAGCCTCAATTGCATTCAGGACGTCGTGCTTGCGCTGCTGTAGCGAGGCCAAAGACGGCGTAGCTGCATCGGAAAGTGAGGCTCTGCCTGCAATATCACTCTCCAATTTGGTGTTGCTTGCTTCGCGTTGATCGAGTAGCGCCTCTGCGGCCTTGGCCGCTTTCGTATACCGATGCTTGACAGTCACGAGGTGTCCCTTTTTGCTGACTACATGTACGAAATATGTATTTGGTCACGTCGCCAGATAGGAGCGGAGTGCGAGCTACCGTAGAGATCGTGCGATGTTCGAATGTCGACAAGAACCTGGCGTGTTTGGGCCTGGCATTCACCGAGGTGAAGCTGAAGCGACGGAACGATCGAGCCCAACAGTTCGGATGCGGCGAGCTGCTTGGCGGTCATAATGTTGCGCACGTACGTTACTAGCTCCGTGTGCCAGACCTAGTGAGCGGTGAACATCTTCGATGACACCGGCGACTCGCCATGCCTGGTAGAGCTGCGTGACGTTTTCCGTCCTGTTAGCAGCTGAGTGAGCTTCTTAGCGTTGATGCTAGGATTACATGTGGGGCAGGCTTTTGACGGCGTCCAGCAACTTTTGGTGCATCTTGGCATGCTTCTCCTCGGCCTCACCGAGGTCGCGAACCAAAGCCTGGGTCGCGCGGAAGGTGGCATGCTATGTCATGCACCGTACACCCTCGAGTAGAATGAGACATCATGCACATACTCCTTCCACGGTCTTCTTCTCGACGATGTCCAGTCGGTAGCACAAGGCTGCGAGCGGCGTCGCCATCGTCGTCGGTTGCAAAGATCGCTATTGGCTCTCGAAACCGCCTCAATTTGTTTTAAACGCATGGTTTAATACAGGTTCATCCTGAGAGCTTTTCTGAAGCACATTCTTGTGGTTGGCGTTGGTCGACATTCTCAGGATGAACAACTCAAGGATACTAAATACCATCCCAGCCCAGCGGTGAGCTGAGGTGAGCGGTGATGCCAAAGGACATCACCAGAATCTGCCAAGCACGGTTGACGCTTTAACGCGCCACCACAAGTCGTTGTCACCCTAACGTTATCAGCACAATGGTGTCCTGTTCGGGTTTGGTGCACAAAGAGTTGGCACTGGAGATGGCAAGCTCATGCAGCACTATTGCGTCGGTGGCCTCACTGCAGTGGTCGCAAACATCGAATTCGACCGCGTTCAAATCGCGTTTAAATCTTTCCCCGCAGTTTGACGCGTCCATCGGCGGGGCGACGCGGCCGCGCGTTACCCAATTATGATATCACATGCATTAAAATGGCGTTTCTCACGCATTTGTATAGGTAAAAGCCCGTGCATTTTACCCACTTGAGTCCACGGAGCCATCTCTGGGGTATTTTTCACTCGCGTTTTGTATGTAATGTCCCCTCGCCGCTTAGGACGCGACTCCCGCCTGGCCAGATGCACCGAGATCTGAATTTCTCAGCGCGCGATGCCAGCGGCGCCCATGGCCACCAACAACAAGCCGTCGTCCGCAGAGAAGCGGAAACTCCCAACGAACGGCAGCACAATGACGACCGAGCTCCAGCACGAAGCCTCCAAGCGCGCCAAGACCGAGACTGCGGCCCCCGTCGCGTCTGGCCTCTGGGTGCAGCGCACCGTTGCGATCGGCCAGAAGGACAAGCCAGCGGCGCGCGACTCGCCCGCCACGAACGGTCTCTGGGTCAAGCAAAGCATTGCATTCGCGTTCTAATTCAAATAGCACGTTGCATTGAACTAAGTATGACAGTCTACGCTTCGGCAACTTTGGCGAGTTGCGGCGCCAGCTTGGCCTGGGTGATGAAGTCGCGGATCTTCGCGTGGTCCTTCACACCCGGCACGCCGGCCTCAACACCGGAGCTAACATCGACGCCGTACGGATTAGCGGCGTGGATGGCGCTCGTCACGTTTGCTGGCGTTAGACCACCTGCCATGAGGCACGGAATCCCCGCTTGTTCGAATTGCTCTGCAATCGTCCAGTCAAAGATCGTGCCCGTGCCACCTGCGACCAAAAATGAGCATTCGAATCGCGAGGACGCTAATTCTCCATACCCATTTGCCCCTTCAAGGTCGTGTCCAGCAGCAGTGCCATTGCATAGCCTACAGCTCAGCACCCTCAGTTCGCCATTCTTTGGTTTCGTAATGTTCGAGACCGGGTTTGATGTGCTCGAGGATCGCATCCATGTTGACCGTGTCGCCGGTCGTACCGCCAGGCAAGTGCACGACGCGGATCGCCGGCACAATGAGATCCGCGCAAACCTCAAAGCCTACGCAACAGTTGTTCCCGTACTGCTCGTTTCCTTGCCAGCACCTTCGTCGCCGTGGAGTTGCACAAGGTCGAGGCCCACTTCCGCCACAATTGCATTGATGGCCTCCGCTGACTGGTTCTGGAAGACGCCTACATAGAACAAGGTTTGCATCCGAGTGCTCAGCGTTCAGAAGCACGCACCCACGACGAGCGGCGTCCGCGCGCTTGCAAGCGTCAATTGCCGACTCTGCGCGTGAAACCACGCCGCCGAGCCCTCCTTTGATTCGATGCGAGGCTGGAATTCGTGGCGGGTCGAGCGCTCGCCAAACTGCCGGATCGCTTGCACAATGTCCTTGGCTTTTTGAATTTCGACGGCTCGTGGGGACTTGGCGACGAATATCATGCCGACGAGGTTCGCGCCGTGCTGCGCGGCAACGACGGCCGACGCTACATCCTTAATGCCACCTATTGCTGTCGTTAGCACAGGAAGCTGGGCACGTAATGCGGCGTACAAATCTTGACAAGTGTTTGGCGAGCGTCCGTATGCACGCCACGCAGTTCCTACGTTGTATGTGATGGGGTGATTGAGCATCAAGTGAGGTACTTGGATCGTCGTGCGCGGGTTGGGCGTGCGCATAAGCATCTCACCGACAAGGACGCCTTGCGCCCCGCAGTGCTCATACTTGATGCTATCGGCACGCGAGAAGACGCCACTGAGCGCCAGCAACACAATGTCATCGCCGAGGCGAATGCCCCGTGCACGAATTGCGTCAGCGATGTGTACGGTCGTGTTCAAGTCCAGCTTGAACGTGCGCAAGTTGCGGTTGTTGACACCGATAAATCTAGCACAAACGACACACTGAATCAACGACAATCGCGGGCGTCGTACGTTGCACCGGCGGCAAGCGCCACGTCAAGCTCCTCTTCGTTGTTCACTTCGACAAGTGGCTCCATGCCAAGGTCGCGAGACGCCTGCAACATGGTCGTTAGAGATGCGCTAGTGAACCCAGTGTAACCTGCAGCAGGAGCGAGAGTTCGTCCGGCGAAAGCATGGCCACAATGAGCAAGAGGCTATCGGCGCCAAACGCCCGTGCCTCAAGGAGCTGATAAGTGTCAAAGATGAAGTCCTTCCGGAGGATGGCTGGCCGGGCATTGCCCAACGCCTTGACTGCCAACGCCTATCGAAGACACGATTTCGTTTCGCCCAAGCAGCAACTTGACCTCGCACAACGCACCACGTCCAACATGTCTTGGAGCGACCCCTTGAATCGCTCTGGCTCAGTAAGAACGGAGATGACGCTGGCTCCACCTTGGGCATACGTCAACGCTTGCTCTAGCGATCGAATATGGGGATTGTAAGAATTCTGCATTCGATCGACCATCAATGCTGGGTCGAGCGTCGGACGTACCTGGAGCATTGGCATCCACGGCGATGTCGCCTTTGCTCGGGCTCGCGCGCTTGAACTCAGCAGCAATAGCCAGCAACGGAGCGCTCTAAATAAAATGCAATGATCGTGTTGTCTTTGCCGTCGTCGTATACCTCGCGGATCTTGCCAACGATCGAGATCGGGCGTCCATGTGCGGCTTCGTACGCGTCGATCTTGCACTGGAGCTCAGCCTCACTCACAAGCGCCTTGGCCGCGTCCACGCTCTTCTTGCGCTGCGCCACTATCTGCATGAGCATGTCCATGGTTCCTCTTGGTGCGTGGAATTCGAAATGGCTCTGAGGGCGTCGCCGCTTGCGATTTCGATGACGCAATCGCACGTGCCGCAGAAATTTCCATGTGGGGACATCGTTTCAAGGGAGCTTCGCCTAATATTCGGATGTGTTTTGTATCCGGATAGGATTTCCCATAATTTCGGCGCCGAAATTGACGCGACGTCGCAACTGCGACGAAGGCAAGAATCTCAACCAACCAGATTGGCCGACCACCGTGCATCTCTCGTCATGAATAGCCACTGAAGAGCACCAGCGTACACTGTACGTAGTACGAGGGCTTCTTGGTCGAGCTGCTCCCAACTGCAGCTGCAGCGCGACAGGCCGCAAACAACACTTTTTGCCCATCGTTGGATCATCTCGCAGTCGAGCCAGTGTACCGAAGACATACAAAAGCCAAGATAAATGGCTGGCCATCTGGTATCGAGTGGAGCGATTCAGGTGGCGGGTGCACTTCGTCTGCCAGTCACATTCTTGAATTGGTGGAGCGATGGACCTTAGCTTCGTCTCGCTTGCCCTCTCGGGGGCATCCGCGCTCCGTGGCCACTTCATCAACACGGCGCACGTGCTCTCGACGACGTCGTCGGAGGCCAAGAACTATGCGTTGCCATGGCAGCAGTGCGGCGGCAAGCACTACAAGGGGCACACCAAGTGCACACCTGGTCACCTCTGCAAGCACCTCAACGACTGGTGGTCGCAGTGCGTGCCCGACCCGTCGCTTAAAGGCCCGCCAACGTACTCACAGTGCGGCGGCAAGGGCTTCGAAGGCGAGACAACGTGCCGTGACGGTGACATGTGCGTTGTCCTGAGCAAGTACTATTCGCAGTGCGTGCCCATGGTCATGCCACCCCAGTACAAACAAAAGTGCACGAACGTCAACGTGCTTGGCGACGCGACGTACTGCATTAAGGGCCCCGTTTGCGGCAGCGAGGACGAAGAAGGCCACAAGTGCCCGAAGAAGGGTGACATTGCCGTCGGCAACTGCCTCAGCCAGCTCAAGAGCTACGTCGCATTCGCCAAGTGCGTCGCACCCAAGGATGCTACGTGCCAAAAGACCGAGTTTGGCGAGTCTATCTGCTCGTTCAGCAAGATTCACATCAAGACGACGAAGGCTACGGCCACCGAAGCACCGTCTACCGAAGCACCGCCTACATCGGCCACTGGCGACAAGAACAGCACCGCGATCGTCATTGACACCCCTGCGGTTGTCAACATCACGGTTCGTGGCAACGAAACGATCCCCGTCATTGCCGTAATGCCGTTGATATTCGGCAACGACACATCTAGCAACGCGACCGACGACGAGGTCGTCACGACTTCGGTCCCGCCCGTTACCATGATCTCGGTCAACACCAGCGCCACGAACAAGACCAACAAGACGTTGGAGACAATCACACCACCCAGTACCACGATTGTTGCCGTGAATGCGACGAGTGCTTCGGACGATGTGATCATCGCACCGACCAACATCACTGCCGCGCCAGTCGACGACGTCATTGTCGCACCTGTGGCCAACACCTCGCTAGTGCTCAACGTGACGGCGGCACCGACTCAAGTGGTTGTGGTCTCTCCCAACGCGACGCAGGAACCGACGACGGAGACGATTTTGTTTCCTGTCAGCGCGCCAAACGGAACGGATGCGCCTGCGACGACAGCCGCGACTACGCTTCTAGTCAATGTGACGGGTGCCAATGCCACGGAGACGAGTGACGTCATTGTCTTCCCGACGCTGATCTAAGTTGAATATATGACCTCGTCATGGTCGTGAAGTGTGAGAGCAATGTGGATAATTTCAGCTATAATTTCAATGAGGAATTTTTCGCACGCCCCGCGAGGTCCGGAGGGCTATACATTCACGAAACGCACTCAGCTTACTTGTGAACGGGTGTGTTGGAAAGGGCTACAGATGAATGTCCACATTGACAATGCAAGATGTATTCGCCGGTTTTACTAGGTGTCTATCGTTTGTTGTGTGGTGGCCCCTACATGATCGAGCACTTGTCCTTCTTGCGAGTGGGAGTGTACTTTTCCAAGTACTTGAGTTGGCGCAGGTTGATCGCGCCGCGGCGCGCCTTGCGAATGTGCTCGACGGCTGTGATGACGTCGAGGCCGTGTTCCATGAGTGCGATCGCGACAAGGACAGGAGCACGGCCCAGACCTGCAACACAGTGCACGGCTACAGTCTTGTCAGACTGATGCGTCCCCGCGTTATTCGTAGCATTGTCTTTCATCGTCTGCTCGACAAGCACGAGCCACTTTTGGATGATCTCTTGGCTCGGCGGCTCGCCGTCCGGGAACTCCATCTCGTGCACACGGAAGCCCGCGGCCTCGACGGTCGCATCCGAGTATGTCGGTTCGCAGGCGCGCACAATGTCGGTGACCTGGTACTTTTTGAACTCCTTGAGGTACAAGGGCAGGTTCGAGTCGTTGGGGGCGTCGAGGATTAAGAACGACAGCTGGTCGTACTGGACGTGGGAGGGCTTGTTCGTCGGGGCGCTCATCGTAGTCGTCGTCTTAGTGGCGTAGAGGGCTATCCCATTCGTGGGCAGAAGCAGCGCGGGTCGAGGCCGAGTCTCGGAAGCTCGGTGATGGCCGTCGTCTTAAGCGTAAAAAGCGAGCTTGGGCGCTGGCTTTCAAGTTTCCGACTGCCCAAACACCACTCAAAACGGCCGCCGTATTTTTATCCGTCGCCTTCTTAGCACTTTTCCCTAGAAACAAAAGTCCCAGGACTTTTAAATACACAGTTTCTCAGTGGAAGCGGTGCTATTAGCAAGTTCTGAAGCCTAATGAACGTTGTATAAAAGGAAGAACCCGATCCCGTTGGATTTTATTGCCCGCTCGGGATCGGCGCCGTAATGGGAGCTTCAATATTAATTTTCAGGTTCTCAGAGTGTTTTTATTTGCATCGCAGCGAATAACCTGGGAAAACTATGCAACATAAAACAATGATAATATAATAGCAGGGCCAAATGAGTTGAAGGCACGATAAACGCCCCACGAAAAATACCTGGCATTGAGTATGCTCCAAGCTAACCGACGTTACCGACGCCTCAACGCTGCAGTCAGATCCGTCGCTTGTCCCAGGCATAGAAAAGCCGATCCTGCACACGTCGTGAATACTTGGTGACGACGACCTTTTGCGTCGTAGCATCGATCTGCTGGGACCAAAGTTGCGCTGTGTAGTGTGCACGGCAGGTGCATCTCGGCGTGACTCTTGACAAGGTATGAGCTGATGTCTGTGCTATCCTTCTGAACCGGTCGAGAATTCGAACATGATCGAAATCAAACAGAGCAGCAAACCAGTGTGTTTGCGCTTTCTGGAACAAATACAGTACTCCCTCCTGACGATGTAGTTTTTTCCCTTGGTGCGACAACCATCGATTTATCTTTCCGCTGGTGCAGTAGTTCGCATTCCGTAAAAGTGTTCTTAGAGGGTGCCATAGATAGATATCATGGCCATCTTCGCAGTCAATGCTTCCAGTACAATAATCTTCATCTCGCTGCGGCTGCAAGTATGTTTCCTTTGGTGACGGACCTTTCGGATCACGAAAGAGAGTTCACCAGTATCGACACCGAGACGAGTATTCAATTTCACAGGTCTTTTCGAAGCGAGGTGGAAATGCTGAGAGCTGTTTCCATGGGTTGGGTTGCCCCATTGGGTGGGTTCGAACACCTCAAACCAGGTCGACCATCCAGCTTGACCGGAGCCATTTTTGCGTAGTATCACCAGTTCCAAGGTGGGTCGGCAAAACATGGGAACTGATTGGGAACGAGGCATTTAATCGATGCCCTTGCTGGGAACCAGCACCCAGCTGAGATCTATGTGTTCTTATGGTGCACCGGAAACTGAGAGGTTTGCAACTATATAAGAAAATACAGTGTATGTATGAACGGAGTTCGACGGCGAGCACTCGGATCTTCGCATGTTCGGCCAGGCGGCGACGTACGAGGGGAAGCGCATCGCGCGTTGTGTGGATGCCATCTACGGCGAAAGCGATCAGCAGCGCTTCGTTGTGGGTACGTGCTCGCCGAGCACGAAGAAGCCCAACCAGCTGCACCTCCTTGACGCCAACCTCTGCCTCCTTCGGGCGTACTCGCACGCGAGCCCGCTGCAGCACTTTGCCATGTGCCCTTTGCCGCAGCGCGCTCATACGATTCTAACAACGTTCACATCTGGTACAGCATGCGGCTTGTTCTTGTCGTCGACTCAGAGCCGTCTCTGTGCTAGAGCGCAACGAACCGACGTTTGCCGTCTGGAAGCTCGAGAGCGTCGAAGATCCCATCGCAACGTCTGTAGACACACCGGCCCAAATGACGCTGGCGTCTCAAACGACCATGGAATCGGCCATTACCAAGTACGATAGTGCGAGGAAGATGAGGAGTGCGTCATGTGGAATAGGGCGATTTGGAATCCTCACGAGGACTCGAGCGGAGCAGCGATTGCGTCTCTCAACGCGACGTCCATCGCGACATGGGCGCTTGCGGAGGGTGGCGCAGCTTGCAAGGTTGGATGACAGTGCCCGGCAATGCCTCTCTTAGTGGTGCTGGTAGGAGACATCCAAGGTCCCGCTTGGCGAAGGCAAACAGTTGACAGGCGTAACATGGGACCCGCACCATCGACACAACATCACCGCTACGGTGGACGAGGCTATTCAGTCGTGGGATCTTCGCTCTGGCAAGTACGAAGCACTGGCCCCGTTGCTCGACTGAAGCTTATGGTCTAGGCATGCGCACGCGATTGAAGATGCGCACTTGGGGTGCACGCGCGATGTCGACTACAACCCGAACAAGCCGTATTACATTGCAAGCGGTGGTGACGACGGCAAAGTCAAATTCTGGGACCTGCGCAAGCCGCAGACGGCGTTGCTGACTCTCTCCGGCCACAGCCATTGGTTCCAGCTCCTAGCGTCAAGCCATCATCTCAGTCGGTATCCTAGGGTCTGGTGCGTCAAGTACAACCGGTTCCACGACCAGCTTGTGCTCTCGTCCAGCTCTGATAGCCTTGTGAACCTCTGGCGTGTCTCGTCGATCTCGTCAGCGCCCCTGCTCGAGATGGATGACGACGACTCGTACGTGGTATCCGCCGAGTTGCAAGCGCGAGATGCATCTGTGTAGGGAGCAAGGCATTGATGTTGGTGATGCCAGGATCAAAAGCTACGAAGAGCACGAAGATAGCGTGTACTCGGTTGCGTGGGGCTCGGCCGACTCGTGGCTCTTTGCCTCCGTCTCGTACAGCGGTCGCGTCGTACTCAATCAAGTTCCATCGACCGAGAAGTACCGCATCTTGCTTTAATCGTAAAACGCGATCGCACGATTAACTACGCGCGCTGCTTCGAAGGATACCTTGAGGCGTTGCGACCATGTCGAGCACCTTGTCATGACCACTAGTTGGGACGGCGTCCACAATCTGCGCTTCGAGGGCAATGCCCTACGCACGTCGTTACCGCAAGCAACCCACACGGAGAATCGACGCGTACGATGGTAACGGGGAGCTTCCCGCCATTTCGACTGGCATACCGCTCGAAAAAGCAGTCTATATCCGCAGTGCAAACACAAGCGAACGACTAGTCTTTGCGTGTACCGTAGTAGCCCTTCCCGTGGCCGAGCCGGTTGCAGCGATGGTCAAAAGCAACGCCGGGGACGAGCACGATGTCGACGTCTAGTGCGTCCAGTGCATCGATTCGTGCAAGACCACTGGGCAAACTTGGCGGCGGCTCGGGAATCCCCCACTTGCTCTAGTGATCTCGTGGCATCGCAAGCGCTGGCATGGAAGCCAGTACCTTGGGAAACGTCGTCATTTCGGCCGTCGAATCAACACGCAGCATGACCATGTCTTCCGACTTGGCGCCGATGACTTTGGGGACGTAGATCGTTTTTCCCGCCGCAAAGAGCGCGTCCACGAGCGTTGACGTCTTGGCTTCGGCCTCCATCGCAAGATAGATGCTCACGCTGCGCGCATCGCGGAAGACGTCGAGGGCGACGACGTGCTGTGTGAGCGCTTCGCTCTGCTCGACCACCTCGTCGCGTGAGAGGGTGCGCAGGAGCCCCGCAATGCGCTTGCGCAGCACTGTCTTCTGGCTGCGAATGTCGGCGAGCATCTCGTAGTAATCTCCTATCCGGACGCTTGGAACAGTGTCTTGAACAGAGTATTCGAGTGATCTGAGAACAGAGTTTGGCGGGTCAAGGATAAATATGCGTTGTGTTATCTTGGCTACAAATATATCTCTATGGCGTCCGCTCGTACGTGTCCATGGAGCTCGACTCGAGGCGCCAGTCGCCGGGGTAGTTGAGCCGCGCCACCGCTGTCAGCGGATCGTCGCTCGCGTCGGGGCACTTGCAGACCTATGGTTCGACATGAATATTTTGAACGAAGAAAGAGGACGACCTCGAGGACGTTGTGGATCTCGAGCAGATGCGGGTGGTCCGGGTGCGTGCGAAAGTGCCGCGTGAGACGCTTCCGCATCGATGCCGAGTCGGCTTCGTCCGCGGGCCAGTAGTAGTACTCGAGCGTGACCGTATTGTCTCGGAAGTTGCGCTTCCCGAGGTACCCCACGAGCTGTGTGCACTCGGACCGGAGACCATACGGCGACTGGCCCAAGTGCCGGTGCTTGCCGCAGAGTTTGTGGATAATGTGGGACGTGCCAACGCTCCCCGGCCACAGAATCTAGTTCGCATGAGGCACTCTTCTTCATCTTCGGACATCGTACCAGCATCTCGTCGCCGCGGTCGTCGATGCTCCACGTACGCGACGCGACGTCGGTCAAGAGCCGGTAGAGCCACGACGGGTGACGCTGCGGCTGCATGCGGCACTGCAGGGAGAGGCGCGTCCACTTGCCCGTGAGCGAAGAAAAGGCGTTCTACATGCATACATATCATGAGCCTTCGATAGAATCGACCTCTCTCTATACGTTTTTGAGTGTTGGGCTCCACTGCGGCGCTGTCGAGGACGACGCCAAAGCAGCCACGAGCTCCTTCCCGAGGTAAAGCGCATCAACGGACGGCTCCGTCGCATAAGTCCTCGCCGGAAGCAGCTCCTTGTACTTTTCTCCAAGCTCGTGCACGAATGTGCTTGCGACGTACTCGACGAGATCACTCATTGTGTGGCACTGTGTCGGAAGCTCTTGTGCCATGAGCACGAGCTCGTCCTCGAAGAAGCGAAGGAAGGTGCTGTACGCCTCGAGCAAGTCCTTGGGGTGTCGCAAGACAAAGTCCCGAAGCTTGGCGAGGAATCCACGCGCGATGGCTCGCTCGACACCCGCGACAAGCACGGAGAAGACGCCTTCCATTGGCGACCCGCACGTGATGCGCGGGCACGACAGCGGCAGCTCGAGCGTGAGCGACTTGACAAAGAAAAAGTGGAACGGCGTCAGCGAAAAGTACTTGCGCGTGACGCGCCCGTTGTCATCGTCGCTCTCCCGCCCCGCCGTATGGAAATCGGCGACGCGGCTTAGCACTTGCACGAGGAAATACACGTCGTTGGCGCGCTGGACGAGCGAGGAGAGCCCAAGCAGCGGCGGCAGCGCGCGCCCTTGAATCGCCGCCGACGGCGACACGTGCTGAAGCCGCGCAATTTTTTCCGTCACGCGGGGCGAGTTGGGGTTGAGGAGGCATAGAATATCTATGTTTCTCATGAGCAAACCATCGCGAGTGCCGGCCACTATACCCCGCTTGCGACTGGATTTGGCAGAAGACTCGTTCTTCTCCTTGCGCTCCGACGACGACGACGAGCATGTCACTTCGTCCTACAGTCACGAAGCTTTGAGTCGTTAGCTCGCATGCAAAGTAGAGGTACCTCGTCCACGTCGACGGGCGACGGTACGTTCACCACGCTATGGCGCTCGAGGCGAGTCTGCTTGCGCACGACACGACTCGACCGAATGTGAAAGTCGTTGCTTTGAATCGTCTCAATGCACTCGATCTCATTTGCTCCCGCGACCGGCCGGAAAAAGAAGACCTAACTCGATGAGAGTCGGCGTTGTGCCATGGAAGAAGTACCTTGAGGCAGTGCGTGTACTTGTTCCCGACGCGGGACGAGAACCAGCCGTAGTGCCAGCACTGTCGATCACCGTTGATGACAAATTGCGCCGTCGAAGCGTCCGGCAGTCGCTGCCGCGCGCCCGGGAAGATCGGGCCGAAGAGATTGTCCTTTGTCTTGACGAGCGACTCGAAATCCGCCACGCGGTACCGCTTGCCAACAGCAAAGGCAATCGGCGCGTCTTCCTTGCCACTGCTATCGTGCGCATACGGGCTCAGGTTCTGGCGCTGCTTCTCGTGGTCGTAGTCGTTGCACGCAAAGTAGCTGTACACGAGCGTGCACTCGGGCACGTCGCACTCGACCGCAACGCCCGTCCCGCAGAATGTCTTGGTTCGATGGCCGCGGCAGCAATGCGGAAAGCACCTAGCGTACGAAAGGCTTAGTGACGAAGTGAGGCGCGTGGCTGTGTCCAAGGTACCTCAGGCTCTTGAGGCCGCCCGCCTTGTTGGTCCTACAACGCAGTGGGCGTGACTAGCAAGTCTTGGTAGTGGCGGCGTACCGGATGTAGTCGGAGCGAAAGAGTTCGTCCTTGCAGCACGCGTGGGCTGTGACGAAGCGGGCGCCGGCCATCGCTCTTGTCTCGACGTTCCGATGTTGGGCTATTTCGGAAACTGATATCGGGCCCAGTATGGGTGGATGCGTCCGGATACGAATGCACCCAGCGGAAAAATTCAGGCCCGAAGTGCAATTACACACGGCGAGGGTCCGAAGCTCCGACTTGGCTCCACGATCTTTGTCGACCACGAGCTTCTGCAAAGCTGAACGCAGGACAGGCCTCACTCAACCGTCCACACTCGTCGATTCGGGCAGGCGCCACATCCGAGCGTGGTACAGTGTAGCAGCCCCGGCCTCTTGGCCACTCATCTGCCACCAGGTGGCGGAAGCTAGACGCAAAAAGAATATCTATTGTTTCGCATTGTCGCTGACCCGCGCTCGCTCTACATGACGACGCAGCAGCTATTCGTCTTCTTCGCTTGCTTGTAAAACACCTTGGACTGGCTGCTCAGATCCGCCGATTTCGAAACAAGGTCGTCCAGCTTCTCACCGCGTTCCAGCACGCTGTCAATCGTCTTGGACAAGACCGCCGTCGTTTCGTCGAGCTCCTTCTGGATGGCCGAGATCTTGTCGGCCTTCGTCGGGTCCTGGTAGTCCTCAAGCGCCTTTGTCAGCGGTGCCCAATCCAAACTGCCGTTGCCCGGGTTCTGCGCCCACGACCCGTTCGTCTCCTTGTTGTACTCTTCGAGCATCTTGTTCATGAGCGCAAACGCGACGCGTGGCGGGTAGTCTTGGTCGCACACCACAATCCCGGCGAGGCCGTCTTGGCGGACGTACACGTGGCAGTTGTACTCTAAGCAGACACCGCGTGGGCATCTCTTTCCACATCAATGGCTGCGTACCTTCGTGCTGAATGGACTGGCGCTGGCCCTTCTGTGTCCGCTCAACGAACGTGCGGCTGAAGAACGTGATCATCTCCCGAACGCTACCCCAGTCGCATGAGCGATGATGGCTTCCTGCCGATCGCGACGTACCCGGAGCGCTTGAAATAAGTAAACGAGTTGAGGTCGAACGCGTTGGCGAGGATAATGGGCTTCGTCCCCGCTTCCTGGCGGAGGACACCTATACATTCTCGCTGTGAACCTCGCGCGTCGTCGCCATCGTCGCTCGTACCGAGGGACACAATCTTCACCATGACCGAGTCGCAGCAAATAAAAAATGAACTAGCCAGTAGGCAGCAACGGTATTTTATTATGCCAACGTCGAATAAAAATGCCCGGTAAAAACGCAGAAACGCACCCGGTAAAGTTCGAGAGAAGACATCCCATCAAGTGCGCTTTGGTCGCGGCGAATCGAAACTGCCCACGCGCGCTTGACTCGGCGCCAGCATTCTTGACGACGACAACCACTCGCAGCAGCGTCGCTTCAACAAGATACCGTGAGAGCTTTTCTTGCGCAAGGAGGCTCGCTGCATTCGCTGGCGGCGCCGGTAACGCACGAACGGCCATTGCACACAGGCGGTTGGAGACGTTGCCGGTGTGAAACACACACATTCTGCAACGCGGCGCCTCTTGGATTCGCTGCCTCGCTCCTGCGCAGTTATTATAAGTATAGTCGCAGCTCAGAACTGGCTGCGGTAGTCGCGTAATGCCCAGCAAGACAGAATGCATTACTTTATAAATTGCACAGACGCACGCGCGTGCAATGCAAGACATGCCGGCTTCTGGGCAGTCGACTGCATGTGAGTTGGGGGCTGCTCATGATAGCCAATAGAGCTCTACATCACGGTGCTGAGCTGGCCTGCAACAAAAATCCCGTTGAGGCCACGATTCTGACACGCTTTTCAATGCTGCTAAGAAGAAGCAAACTACCGTACAGCCAACATCGGTCGATTCCTCAACTGGGTCGGACTTCGTAGGTTTTTTCAGGCGGTTAAATATGACGCAGTGCGTTTTTTGCGTTTTTACCGGATAATTCCGTGCGGCCCAATCGTTGGACGGTATCTTGTCATCATCGAGCATGGGAGTCGCCGTGGCCGTCGCGAGCCAAGAGTTTGACCGATTCACGGCGCGATGCCGCCTGCCTCTGAAGCTCATGGAGGCGCGGCGCTGGTCCAATGGTGCGCCGATCGTCGTCTTCTCCGGGACGAAGGCCTACCTCTGCAAGGCCCATGCAACGCGCCACGCAGCGATCGCCTTTGATGCGTCCGTGGCGATCCCGGCCAGTGCCGTCGCGTCGCTTCGCCGTAGCGCCGTGAATGTAGCACCCTCCGTTGATGTGGCACTTGTTACAGCAAAGCTACAGCCAGCTACAACCGTCTCGATGGAGCCCGTGGGCATCGCGCCGGAGACAATCAACCGCATGCTGCAGCATGGCGTGTGCCAGCGGCTCCTTCAAGACGCAACCCGCCGCCTCATTGTCCAGGAATCCGCCGTTGTCTACCTGCCGCTCCCGTCCTACGGCCCGTACGCAGACGCCGATGCGCTTGCCAAGCACCTAAAATTTCGCGTCACGCGAACGGCCCCGGCGAATGGACCAGTCCGCATCGTTCGTGCAACACGCGTCAACCTCTTTCGAGCCCAGACATCTCCTGCCTCCGACGGCATGACCGTAGACGCTCCGTTGCCTGCGCCAACGAGTTCGTCGACATCGATTGGGGGTCTCGACAAAGAGCTGGCGATGATCGAGGAGCTCATTCGGCTGGCTGTCGATCACAACGACCTTCCTGCGCGCCTCGGCGTGGCTTTGCCCAAGGGCGTGTTGCTGTCTGGCCCTCCAGGAGTCGGCAAGACGCTTCTCGTCCGTACTGCCACACGCAACCTCCAAGGTGTCGTGATTGTGTTGTCGATGCTCGGAGTCAAGCCACTCGTGTAGGCGAATGTCATTTGCAGCTGCATGTCATCAACGGTGCCGAAATTCTCTCGCGAGGCGTCGGGGAAGCTGAAGCAACGCTTCGCGCCATCTTTGCTGAAGGTCGTGCCTTCACTGCCACGTCACAGCGCCACGTGTTCTGCCTCTTCCTCGACGAGCTCGATGCGCTCTGCCCCGCGCGCGACACGAGTGCGCGAGCGCACAGCCGCATTGTCGCACAGCTGTTGACGCTAATGGACGGCATCGATGCCAAGGACACGGCGCCTCGCGTCCTCGTCTTTGGCGCAACCAACCTCCCCAATGCCATCGACCCCGCGCTCCGGCGCCCTGGTACGCTCTCATTTGCGTCCTTGACAATTGGATCTCACGCACGTGTAGGACGTTTTGACCGAGAGGTGGCGCTGCGTCCGCCTGATGCTGCCGCGCGCGAAGCTATCCTACGCGTGCACCTGCGCCAGATTCCGTTGCCAACGCACGTATCCAGAGATGACGTCGCAGCGCTCTTGGCACCCAAGTGCGAATTTGCAATCGCATCAATCGTGAGATCATGTACCACGTAGATGCATTGGCTATGTCGGTGCGGATCTGGCGTCGCTCTGCCGGCAGGCGTGCATCATCGCGTGTCGTCGCCAAGAGACGTCCCGTGCGTCGCCACCGCGCATCCTCCGTTTCCTGCGCAACCAACAGTTCTCGGCCATGTACTGGGGTTACTGCAGGTGGCCTTCGACTGAGGGTACGCCAGCAAACGCATCATCGCCATACCCACAATTGTTTGTAGTCGAAAATCCCGATGATGACGGCGCCTTCGTCACGCCCCAAGACTTTGTGGACGCCATGGCATTGACTCCGGCGTCGGCGCTCCGAGGCGCCAAAACATTCACGAAAGAATCCTCTGCCACTGTGACATGGGCAGATATTGGCGGCCTGGAGGATGTCAAGCTCTCGCTGCAGCAAGCCGTCGAGTGGCCGCTTCAGTTTCCCGAGACGTTTACACGCCTCAATCTTAAGGTACCGCCTTCAGCTCGTGCATGGCTACATCTGCGTGTTTCTAGCCACCGCGGGGTATCCTTTTGTATGGCCCCCCAGGCTGCAGCAAGAGCACTATCGTTCGCGCCTGCGCCTATGCGTCGCACGCAACCTTTCTCACGCTCAGCGCCGCCGACGTCTTCTCGCCGTACTTCGGCGACGCTGAAGCGGCGATTCGCCAGGTCTTGGAGCTTGCCCATCTGCATCGTTCTTATCTGCAAGGAGTAGGTTTTCCGAGATGCGCGGGCGGCGACACCGGCGATCATCTTCATGGATGAAATCGATGCCATCGTGTCCAAGCGAGACTTTGCCGACGGTGGATCGGGCGGTTTGTTCGTGGTGCACTGCTCTATCTGATGGCACGGCTAGGCTCTGGCATGGCCCTGCGCGTGCTCTCTACGCTGCTAAACGAGATGGACGGCGTCGAGGCCACTGATGGTAGCAACGAGTAACTTCGTCGGCATTTTGCTCACGATGTTCGAAAGGATTGCTCGTTATCGGAGCCACCAATCGTCCCGACATGATTGATGCAGCGCTGCTTCGTCCCGGTCGCTTCGATCGTGTGCTGTATGTGCCGCTGCCGGAAGCTGCTGATCGACTCCACGTACGATCAATAAACTCGGCGGCTAGGATTTGATCAACTTCTGTGTAGATTCTCAAGATTCACACGGCGCATGCGCGTCTGTCGGCAGATGTCGACTTGATGGCGATCGCTCACAGCACGCCCTACTTTAGCGGCGCCGAGCTCGAGGTATGCAATCACTCTCGTCCAACGATCCTGTGCGTACGGCTTGATCTAGAATGTGTGCCGGGAGGCGGCGTTGCTCGCACTTCGCGAAGACATAACTGCCGACGCTATCGAGATGCGCCACTTGGTCGCTGCGCAGGCGACCGTCCGCCCCGTCTCGACACCGGCGTCGATCGCCCACTACGTTGCGTTTCAAGACGCCGAGTGAGCTAGTTCCTAATCTTCTATTACGTAGTAGCATAGTTTTGACTATCTGCAGCATCAGCAAACCACTCGAAGGGAGTGACACCAGCCTCCTTCCAATACGACGGACCATAGTTGACAAGAAGCTGCGTCCCGGGAGCAATCGGCTCCAGCGTTCTCTACCCAAAACGCATGAGACGGTGCATACGCGAGCACGGGGAATGCGTACGCAGACGATGTGCAGGAAGCCGCGGTGGAGGACGGACGCAAGCCGGCAGTTGAAGTGACGGAAACTGTGGTTCACGCACCGGATGATATTGCCGTACTCGTTTGCGCTCACAACCATGTTGCCATCTTCAAAGACCGACGGGTAAGCGAGGCCGTAGCTGTCAAAGCCGTCGCCTCGGTCGACCTGGACGACGCCCGTGTATTCACCAATGAGCGTGTCGCCAGCGATCGGCGCCGTCGCAAATAATCCGAGCTGCTCTCCGACACCGGGAATCGAAATCGGCCGCACATCGACAAGCGCGTGCACGGCACCGGCATCGAGCTGCGCGGCGTCGGCTGGCGAGAGTTCTGGAAACTCGGACCCGGTCGTGAAGCCCCAGAACCCGTAGTTGCGCAGCTCCGAGGAGCTCTGGAAAAGAAGCTTGGGCGTGTAAATGCAGCGCATGCGGTCACTGGCTTCGTCATAGGACACTCGTTGACCCTCGAAGGACACGGCGCCGTCAACCTCGTCCGGGTCGCCTCGGTCAAGGCAGTGATGCTGCATCGATCGAGTTTTCAAATTGCTTGCAACTGGACCAATCAGACAGCGTGCCATCTGCGTTTTATAGGTTGAATTGCTAGACCACGTTTTAACACGGTAAAATCCGTTCGAGTCTGGACCTTCTCGGTCAACGGGAAGACCCCAACACTGAATTGTATACACCACCCTGAGCACCGATAGCGACCCGCCTGCAATAGTGTCGAGGTGGCTCACGTGTGCTCAAGGACGCCGGTGCGCTTGCATGGTCAAGCTGATGTCGCTGGGAATACCCCGAGCCCTAGTGCCGAATCAACAAGCCTTTGAGTTTGCCACTTGACGCCTCTTGATCTGTTAGAGACTTTTCGCCTCCAATAATATCACACGAACATCGCGTGGTGAGTCGACGTTTGAAAGCGATTTGCTCGATTTATCCGAGCGCGCTTCATCTTCCCGTACACAGTCCAACGCCACGTTTTCATGTCGTCCGATGGAGTGACCGTTGACCGAAGTGACAGTGCTGGTGCCGCTGATAGGATTCGGGTGGGACTAGTGGCCTTTCTCCTTCGAGACTCAAACGACTTGGCTCTCCTCATCAACACCAACCATCTCAAAGTTATAATAACGCTGTTTTATTGCTCATCGCCCCTCGCACGGGCTTTAGTTTTGGCTTGTTAGCCGTCGGCGCTAGGCAGGTGATGACCCCAAGTCGATGGAGTCCGACCGCCCTTTCCTGTTCGGATAGGTTTCCGGCAGCGGTGGTTTCCGTTTCGACGGAAGAAACCACTTTCACATTCGCCGGGCTCCAACAAGATGGCGTCGACGTCCGTGCTGCAGCACTTTGAGACGTACCAAAAGGCACGGGTGAGCTTCGTCCAGGCCGTCGCAGAGGCAGCGACGCGCCCGCAGAACATCGAGGTCATGCAGAACGCCGGAGTAATGCAGCTCCTTCGCCCGCTCCTACTGGACAACGTACTCCCAAATGGTTTCCAACTTGACGAAAACGCTGCCAAATTAGGTACCTAGCATTCAGCAGTCGGCAGCGCTGGCCTTGGGTCGGCTCGCCAACTACAGCGACGACCTGGCCGAAGCCATTGTTGGCAACGAAATTCTACCGCAGCTTGTCTACTCACTCTCAGAGCAAAACCGATTCTATAAGAAGGCTGCGGCTTTCGTGCTTCGCGCAGTGGCCAAGCACTCGCCAGAGCTCGCTCAAGCCGTCGTCGACTCTGGTATTCAAAGCCGCCCACGTATTTGCATCGACGTCGCGATCTAGGTGCGCTCGAGGCGCTGGTCCCGTGCCTCGAAGAGTTTGACCCGACCGTGAAGGAGGCCGCGGCGTGGGCGATCGGGTACATTGCGCAACACACGAGCGAACTCGCGCAGAGCGTTGTGGACGCTGGCGCCGTGCCTCTCCTCGTGCTCTGCATCCAAGAGCCCGAAATCACCCTCAAGCGCGTCGCAGCCTCAGCGCTTAGCGACATTGCAAAGCACTCACCCGAGCTCGCGCAGGCAGTGCTTGACCCAGGGGCCGTAGCGTACCTGGCCCCGCTCGTGCAGCACCCGGACGCCAAACTCAAGCGGTACTGCTGGCTATCCATGTACTCTTCATGATATAGGTGCATAGGCAAGTATGCAGCTGCCTCGCGCAGATCGCGAAGCACTCGGTGGATTTGGCCGAGGTCGTCGTCGAGGCCGAGATCTTCCCCAACATTTTGCACAACCTCAACGACATCGACCACTGCGTGCGCAAGAACGCGGCGACTTGCATCCGTGAAATCGCCAAGCATACACCGGAGCTCGCCAAGCTCATTGTCAATGCTGGCGGCGCCTCGACGCTTGTCGACTACGTGGCCGAGGCGTCGGGCAACAACAAGCTTCCGGGCATCATGGCGATCGGGTACATTTCCGCTTTCAGCGAGACGCTGGCGCTGGCCATCATCACGACCAAGGGCATTGCGCCTGTCAAAAACGCCCTCGTCTCAGAGCCCGAAGACCACATCAAGGCGGCGAGCGCCTGGACGCTGGGACAGATTGGGCGCCACACACCCGACCACGCGCGCGCGATTGCTGAGGCCGACGTGCTCCGGCACTTGCTCGCGTGCATGATCCACCCGAATTCATCGGACGACCTCAAGACCAAGGCGAAGCGCGCGCTCAAGTCGATTCTCGCCAAGTGCACGCACCTTCAGGCGCTCCAGCCGCTACTGCGCGACGCGCCCATGAAGGTCCAAAAGTACATTCTCAAGCAGTTTGCGCAAATGCTACCCCACGATCTCGAGGCGCGCAGGTCCTTTGTGCAGAACGGCGGCCTTCAGTTCCTTCAGGAGCTCAGCGAGGCGGCGGGTGGAAAGCTCACCGAGTACATCATGGAGATCAACAATTGCTACCCGCCCGAGATTGTCGAGTATTACTCGCCCAACTACTCCAAGACACTCCTCGACAAGCTCGACGAGTACCAGCCCCAAGTGCGGTAAGGCAGCTATAAGAAACAGCTTGCGCTTAACCAAGTGTATATATGTATGCACACCATTGTCGAAGTCGGCTGGTCCGAGTACCTACGGTGGAGTGCCACCGTAATGTGCTTGCATGGGGCATGGCGCCAAAGATCGCAGAAGATCGCCATGGACCGCATTTTTTAATACTTTATACAGGTTTATCCGGACAGTTCCTGACCTGCTCACGGCCAATAAATCGCATTTTGCCCCAGTCCATCATGCTGTCCCGCGCCGTCCTTCGCCTCAACGCGTCGCCGCTGGCCTTCACCGTGGCCCGCAGCTTCTCGGGCGCTGCGCCCAAGGCGGCTGCGCGCCCGACGCGCCCGAAGCACTCGGGTCCGCCCACGCTCCAGTCGACGGTCGCAGAGATCAAGTACCTCAGCCAGGTCTACTCGATCGCGGCCGCGTCGGCGCACTTGCCCAAGAAGAAGCTCGAGTTCGTCGTCCGCGAGATCAAGGGCGAGAAGGACCTCCCGCTTGTGCGCGAAGCGCTTGAGCTGTACGAAAGCCGGTTCCTCCACATCCCGACGTACTGCTCGGGCACGTTTGTGAGCAAGTGCATCAAGACGGGTCAGGCCGACTTGGCCCTCGAGTGGATGCAGGGCAGCAAGAAGCTCTCCAAGCACATTGAGAATGGCTCGGCGGCCAACCTCATCGCCGCCTTTGCGGAAAAGGGCGAGTTCGAGAAGGGCCTCCAGGTCTACACCGTCCTCAAGGCCCACGGCATTGAGATGACGACCAAGGTCTTCACGTCCTTGATCCAGTACGCCCTTTCGCTTTTGCGCCGAATCCTGGACTCACGCGTGACAATTGCTGCAGGTTGAGCAAGGCGCAGGGCAACATGGACCAGGCGTGGGCCTTTGCCCTCGAAGGCTGGTAGGCTCAAGGGTGCGATGTTTCGGTTTCCTGACGTCATGATTCGTAGCTCGGGCAAGATGCTCAACGCCCACGGCCTCATCACGCTCCTCAAGGACTTGCCTGCGGACGACGTCGCTGCCAAGGCGGCGCACGTCAAGCAGCTCATGACCCTCGGCGACGTGCACTCCAACGCGACGCTCGACAAGCTCCTCGCGCCGGCCGCTGCCGTCGAAGAAGAGGCCGTCGCGGCCGAGTAAGCTATAACATCCCTCTAGATAGAAGAAGAATCAAAACCCATGCGCGTTGTTATACACAAGACTACACTCTTAGTCGTAAATCGGGTCCGAGAGCAGAGGGTCCGAATACTGGCTCTCGTCCTTGCGCTTGGCAACGCGCTTCATCTCGACCAAGCCAAAGCCCAGCATCGCGAGGAACGCCACGACGCAGACGACAGCGCCGACCGCGTTGGACGTCGACGCTCCGTGGCCGTCGATCGCGTCCGCTTTTGTGTGCAGCCGGCTCTCGTGGTACGACCCAGGCGGCGTCGTCTCGGCCGCCATCTCGATGGGGTCACTCTCCGTCTTGGTCGCGTTGCTCTTCGGAACGGCCTTGAGCTCCGGGTAGAGGCTCCAGACGTAGTGGATATCGGTGAGCGACATCTTGTCGCGTTGGCCCATCTCGTTGAGCACTTCTTGGCGCGCGTAGACATCTTCGATGCGCGGAATGACACTCATGCAGCTGCGTGCCGATGCGTTCACGAACGCGTCCGACCGGTGGTGCATGATGCTGTAGTAGTCGTACGGCACTTCGGCACCGACGATCGCGACGGCTCCCGCGCCATAGATGGCCTCCAAGTGCTCGACGGCAAAGTACGACCGCTTCGTCTTGTCGACGCACTCCCACGCGATCGCGACATGCGCGTCTCTGTCGGGCCGCACGAGCGGGTGATGCAGACCAATCGCGTGCAAAAGCACGTGCACAAGGTTGCCAAAAGCGCAGTCGTTCGAGACGCCGAGCGCCTGGCGACCGCCCACGCGCCCCACAAACGAGTAGCAGGACGCAGACGTTGGCACAAAGTCGACAAAGTCGTCGCAGTCGTCGAGGTGGTCGTCGCAGTACCACTCGTGGCACTCGAGAAAGGTGAAGCCCGTATTGGTCGTGATGTGGTCCATGACAGCGACCAAGTCGCTGCGACGGCTCGCGAGACCAGGATCCACCGTGTAGCACATCTTGGCCTAGCGCGCTCCTGAGCACAATATTATTCATCGACAATATGACGTACGTTCTTCCAGCGGTTGTCCTTCTCCATGTTGTAGTAGCCGTGCAGGAGGTAAAAATGGTAGTCGTTGTCCATCTCGTCGAGCGTGTCAAAAAACCCAAACGAAATACCCACGGCAATGTCGCCTTGCGTCACCATGACGTCGTCCTCGACGAGCACGTAGTCGAGCTCGTTGCCGTTCACGACGATCTTGCCGCTCTTCTTGCCCGCGAGCGAGACGTCTTCGGCCACGTACCGGCACGAGTTGTCGCTGGAGCTGCGCACCATGCCAGCGCCGCACGCCGGCAGGCGGTTCGTTGCGACCGTCGGCACGCACAGCATGCCACCATCCGTCGATTTGATTGTCGTGAGCGCGTTTGCAGGCCCGGGGCCAATCTGCAGATCGTAGCCCGACTTGCAGCTGCAGTCGCTGAGCTTGGTCACCGGCCAGTTGTTGATGATGGCATTGGCGGGACAGAGCGCCGACGGTCCCGTTGGCGGCGGCGCATTACACACCATGGTGTCGTTGTCGCTCTCGCCGACAAAGCGCTGCGAAAATGCTTGAAACTCGGCGCCCAGCATTGACGGCGGCTCTGCTACACGGCCGTGGACGCAGGCGCAGTCGTCGTTGGGGGCGTGCACGGGCCAATGCAGCACGATCGCGTGCATTGGGCAACCGTTCTCGTTGAGCGGCGGCTTGGCGTCGCACGAGCTGTTGCGATCGTTGCGCAAGTAGCCCTTGGCGCAGTGGCAGTCCATAAAGTCGAGCGCTGGCAGAGATGGGTACGGGTTGAACGCGTGTGGCGGGCACTTGTAAAAGTCGGGTGTCCAGTCGCACGACTGCATGCCGTAGTTGGGCACGAAGCCTGGAAGGCACTGGCACTGCCGCATCGAGTACGGGTGCGGCGCCATCGCGACGGCAAAGTCGGGGCACGTAAACTCAGCGACAGGCAACGACGCGCCGCGCAAGATGCCGTTGCTCAACGGCTGCTTGCACATCTCGAGTTTTTCGTCGCGCTCAAACCCGACCGCACACTCGCACTGCATAAAGTTGCTGGGCGCCGTGGCGAGCGACGGCATCGGGCGCGAGTGTGGCGGGCAAATGAACGTCGGCGTCTCGGTCACGCAGTAGTCGCTCGGCCCCGCCTTCTCGTTGCTTGTCGGACTGCGCACGTAACCCCAATCACATGTGCAGTCGGAGAGCGACTTGGCATATCCTTGCTTTGGCGGCGACGCGTGCGCTGGGCACGAAAACTGCAGGAAGCATTCGCCACTCTGCGCGTTCTTGGTGTACGGCGCAGTGCAATCGCAGTCGGCCAGTGAATGCACCGGTCCAACGAGCGACGCTTTCTTCACATAGTTGGCCGCGCGCGGGCAGTGGTCCAAGTAGCATTCGCCCGTCGCGTCGTCCTTCGTGTACGGTTCTTGACACGCACAGTCTGCGATCGACCGCGCATGGACAAGACCGGACTTGAGCACGTACCGACCACGACACGCGATTGCGTCGATGCAAGCGCCACCAATCTCGTCGCGTTGCAGCCCTGGCTTGCACTCACAGTCGGCAAACGCCTTGGGGTGCAGCACCTTGGCCGAAGCACCTTTGGGGCAGCGAAAGTTCAGCGAGAGGCTGGGCAGCGCCTGACCAAGGAGGAGTCGCCCAGAGAGCCTATTGTCGAGACCCGCGGTCTTGCCGCCGTTGAGGCACAGACAATCTTCGGCCGACTCCATGTCCTGGGGCAGAAACATGGCCTCGCACGGCGCCGGACACACTAGAAGACGACGCATGAGACCCACCCTTGGCGTAAGCATCCGATGCGACGAACCGAAGAAGCCTTGCGCATGGACCTGCGCCAAGAAGGCCGCGCAAACGACCGCTACGACGCGAGCCATGCGATGCAAATGTCGAAATGAAAAGGCAATCGCGATCTTTTCGAGGATCTTTCGACATCCGGATATTTTTTAGAAAGTCCCGCATGTTATCCGGGATTTCAGACATGGAAACCCTGACCCTCGCGTGGCGCAAGGTTGCTGAGCTAATTTGGCCAAAAAGTTGCTTGGGAAGAAAATCGATTCAAGCTGACCAGGCATGGCTCAATCTTGCAGTGTGCTTCAGTGTGGGAACCACCTGTTAACTAGTGTGCACACCTTCCCGCAATAGCACTAGATGAACTGCGATTTACCAAAATAGGCAGGTCGAAACTGCGTCGCGCCAGACCGGAAATGGCGTCGCTCAATGGTCTGCCGCCGATTCCAAGGTCGCAGCAGAACTGGGGCAAGCTACCGACGAGTGGCCAAGACAAGGTGGCGCCGGGCTCGGCGCGAAGGCTCACGTCACCGCAAAGCGCATCGACAACGCGCCGTAGCCTGAACGTGTCAATGGCCCACCTCTCTATCTTGCGCCCCAACAACTCGACTGCGAGCCTCGTAGACGCCTCGCCACGCAACCAAGGCGACGACGGAAACCAAACGCCGAGCGAAGGCGACTCCGAAGCCTTTAGCCTGCTGCTCGACAGCAGTACTCTCTCCCAGTCGTCGGCGCGCGATGGCCCGTAGGTGTCGACAGCATGCGACAGCTCATTCAGGCTCGTAGCGACGTGCACGACGAGCTCCAGCGCGTTCAGGCGCACAACTCGACACTGCAAAACGAGGTTGCGCGGCTCCAAGAGTCGCTCGTTCAACGGTTCCCATCCTACTTTCTTTCAAGTAGCGCTAAGAAATTGTGTAGCATGCGCGGGAACTCTAAATTCGTGGGTGGCGGCCAGTTTCGGTCTTCGATTGCGACGGCAACGAGTCCCAAGCCCATATCAGGATGCTCCAACTGCTTTTCACTCCGTGCGGCTATCAAGAAGCTCAAGACGGACGCCAAGTCGGCCAAACCGGTCGTGGACGACCTCCAAGTCAAGGTCCATAACTCTGCAAAAGCGGACTTGATACGACGATCGACCCTCATAGCTCTCGGAAGGCCACGTCCAGCGCCAGGCCCTCGCGGTTGCAAGCGCCAAGAAAGACCAGCAACTGGCCGACGCACTGACGCGCCTCGAGAGCGCCGAGATCACGATTGCAAACCAACGCGCGCAGCTCGAAGAGTGCGTCATGTCGACCGAGACGCAGCCCACTCATGCTGCGTAGGCTCGATGCGGATCTCCAGAGCTTACGCGGGCACGCGGTCGGATCCAGCGCCGACGCAACGGACGAGTTGGTCGCAAAGCTACAGCAACAAATCGAGTTGACGCGGGACAAACAAAAGCTGCTCGACGCCTCGCACGCGCAGCTGGAGTGCGCGCACTCCGATCTGGCAGTGGCGCGGCAGCAAACTTCAACGCTTGAAACTGCGCTGCAGTCTACGACGCAGCTCTTGGACGCAGCGCGAAGCGCCATGGACACGCTTCAAGCCCAAGCTCGCGCGTCTGCTACGCAAATACAACAGCGCGAGCTTGATACGCACGCGCTTCGAGTGGCACACGACCAAGTCTTGCTACAGCTGCGCTACGACGTCGAATCGTGGAAGGCGTCGGCGGCAGCAGCCCAAGCCAGCAGCAAGCAGCTCGTAGACGAGAACCAGGTGCTGACCGGGCGCATGGCCGAGCTCGAGCTCGATCAGCGCAAGCGCATGACCGCGATGGAAGAAATGGAGCGCGAGATGCAGCACTCTCAGCTGCTGCGGCGAAAAACGTCGAGCGAACTCGTGGGCTTGAACGGCCGCGTTGACGCGCTGCTCGCCGAGCTCAGCGCGGTCAAGGCTGAGCGCGACGCTGCGATCTCCGACCACTGTGCGCTACAGACACGGCTCGAGGCGGAGCTCGACATGGCGCGGCGCCAATTGAAGCAGCTCGAGAAGGCGCTGCTCTCAAAAACGTGTGAGCATACAACGCTCGAGGTCAAGGTGCGCGCACTTGAAGACGCGCGGGACGCCCAGTGCACACGCGCCGCGGAAATGCACTCGGAGCTCCGGGACCAACTCGAGAAGCTCGGCGTGGCGCAGAATCAGGTGCTCAAGCAGCGAGGGCAGGTGCACGCGCTCCAAACCGAGCTCAAGGCTGTCAAGGTCGAGAACGACGAGCTTGCCACGCGCTTGGAAGCCCAGCACCAGCTGCACACCAAAGCATTGGAAAAGGCACGTAGCTTTCTTGACACAGCTTGAGCGCACGAGTGACGTAGGCCATGCAGTCGCTCGTGCGATTGTGCGTTGTCGCTCCCACCGTGAACGTCCACTTGTCGGGCCAGATTTTGCCCTGCAAATCGGTCTTACCGACGGTACGCACGCAGTATTGAAAGGTTGATACATATATGGATCCAGGACGCGATTCGGTCCATTGTGCAAAAGGACATTTTGCCTGTCTTTTCGTCCATTTTTCTGCAGCACGACGAAGGTACGAGTTCGGACGGATCGTCGCTCGACGCGTGGCTGCAGTCGTTGCTCAAAGAGATGCAAACGTCGATCGAGAAGCATCTCAAGAGCGTCTTCCAGTCGTAAACATTTGATAGACTGATGTGGTGTTTTCAAATGCAAATGCACACTACGAGCCTACGAGGTGGCTGGCGGCGGGTTCGCGACGCCCGAACTCGACTTCTTCTTGCCACGGCGGGAGCGATTCTTGGGCTTTGCGCCCTCGCTTGGCGCGGGTGGCGGCGCTGTGTCCACGGCCCCTTGGCGCTCTTTCGCTTCGTCCAGTGGTGTCAGTGCTTCCGACTCTTTGGGCGGCTTGGAGTCGTCGCCGGTTGCCTTCCGCTCCCGAGTGCCCTTGGCCTTCTTCGATTTCTTGGTCGGCACGGGCTTTTCGCTGGCAGCTGCCGTCGCGGCCGTGTCGTCGCTCGTAGCAGCCGTGAGCTCCGTACCCCGCACCTTTTTGGCGTTTTTGGAGCCCTTTTCCGTCTCGTTCCTCTCGAGCGGCTCTTGTTGCTTGGGCTCGTCCACCTTTTTGGTCGCCGACTTGTCGGTGTTGTCGGCTTTCTTCTTGGGCTTGCGCTTCTCTTGACGCGTTGCCTTGTCGACATCCTTCTTCTCCTTTTTCGTCAGCGGCTTGGGCAAAACTGCAGTGAGCGTCTCGAACGACGCGTCGTCGCCCACAATGAGGCCCACCGCGCGGTCGACTTCTTCGAGGATTTTCTGTCGTCGACCGTGAGCTTCTCAGTGCATAGGAGAGAATATCGTACCTGCTGGCCGCCCAGCTGCAGCACGACGCCGAGGTCGCGGTCGAGCTCAAACGGATCTTCGATGCTCATGCGCCACGCCTTGCGCTTGGCGCCCCACCGCGCTTGTTTGGTGAGCAGCTCGGATCGGTGGATCGCAACGCTGCGACCGTACCAGTCAAAGTGCTTGAGGTACATGAAGAAGCGAACGAGGAGTGACGCCACCGAGAGGCTTTGCGTGTCGGGAAGCATGACCGCTGCCTTGACCTGTGCAACGTTCTGGCAAAAGGCCACGTTACAGCCGTTGAGCTCCTAGTCGCAATGAAAAGGCTCCACCGACTTGACGTTGGCATCGAGTGTACCTCGGCGGGCACACCAAGTTTCTGGAGCAGGCCGGGGTCTTGGAGGTTGGGCAGCACACCAGCCTCCTGCAGGACGTGGATCACCAAGAGCACATACGAGTACGAGCTCAATGTGCCCATGGAGGCATCGTTGATGCGTCGAGCTTTCGCCCAATGCTTGACCTATAGAAATGCGCTCAGACTCTGTGCAATCGCAAGTGAGCTGTACGGCCAAGACCAGCGGCCGGACGCGAGGGTCGTACTCGCCGTACGTTCGAAGCAGCAGCGTGTTCTTGGTCGGAAGCAAGTTGCCCATGCAAATGTCGCCCTCGAGACCGCTCCCAGTGTGGAGAAATCTGTACCGAGTCAAATCACCGCCACATCGTCAACATTTAGAGATCGCACTTGATGATGGGCACGCGGGCGCCGAGGATGAGTTGCTGGACCGTGCATCCACCTCTCTACGTTGGGATGAGTGCGTCGCCCATGGCGCCGCGAGTCGTTACCTGCAGCGCTCCGGAGAGCCGGTACATGGCTTTGCGCTGTCCGTCGGCGTCCTGGATCGCAAGGTGGATTTGCTTCTTAGTCGCCACGAGCGACGATGGCGAGGACTTGGAATTCGGCGGTAGCATGAGCTCGGTCATCGTGACTAGACTGTTGGCGGCACGCAAAAACACTTGGGCTTGCTGCAGCTGGTTCTTGCTACGGATGACACCAACGGGCATGAGTGCGAGGCATGATGACCGGCAGGTCCCACATCTTGGCCGGGGTCTTGGCCAAGTCTGCGGGGCAGCGCGACTTGATTTTCGTGTACGCCGCGAGAGCCTTTGCCGCATCTCCCTTGATCTGGTCGAGGGCCTCGGCGCACCGCGTGGCGAGTCCCATGGCCTTGAGAGCATCGTCACTACACAGCACTGCTATGTACAGAGGTGTGGTGCTTCGACGCAACGCACTGCTGGCGGCGGGCGGCCCCAATACCGCTGTGCGCAGCGGGCGAATCCGGTGTCCGGCGGACAGCCGTGATGTCAATGTCGCAGCCCTTGGAGCCTGCATACACAGGGTATTTGAAGCATTAGCAAGACCAGGGATAATACCAAACAGCGAGAGGGAGCTGCCGTAGAGGTGCAGGCCACACTTGCGGTCAAACGAGCTCTTGACGACCTTCTGGAGGTCATCGACCACCCGCTGCCGCTGGGCTTCGTCCTACGCTCGACACATTGAACAATAAGCTGGTCCGTTAGGGGCGTACGTTGCCGTCGACACGCGTCTGGTCGTAATGCGCCAAGATGCCGATATCGAGCGCCTGCAGCACTGGCGCGCTGATGCGGGGGAGATGCAACGCGGCATGGAACGGCGTCGTGTCTTGCTTGACGTGCACGAGGAGGTCCTGGACGTCGGTCACGAGACGCCGGATCTTGCTCGTATCGTGACGATGCAAGTTGGTCTCGATCGCGGCCAAGAGGCGGCGGCACCACGCTTCGATAGGACTCGCGTTGTGCGCCGAGCACGTGGCCAAGAGCAGCTCGGACGTGAGCTCCAAAATATCTCCGTGAATCAACGTCGAGAGCTTGGTGGGGTGGAGCGCCCAAAGCCAGTGCGTGAGCTGCAGTACAAGATCCAGCGCTTGAAAGGACTTTTCCTACAAAATGGAGAGCTCGACGCCGTTGTAGGACACGCGTGCGATACCTCGTGCGTCTCGACAGTGACGCTCGAAGGAACCTTGAGAAGCACGCGGACGACGTCGATGAATTCCAGCGCGCGCTTGATGAACCAGACATGCGGTCCGCTGGCAAGCGACTCGGTGTCACCCGCGCCTTGGCTCCGCGACAAGAGCTGCCGGGCGAAGAGAGGGTCCTTGGGGCGGAGCCAGGCCAAATCGATGGTCGCTGCAGACAGCGCCGTCTGCAAGTTTCGCTTGGCGTGCGTATCCATGACGCATTCGAGCACATCGTCGTCGTTCATTCGTGCGTCGTCCGGGTCGGCCCCAGATTGCACCTTGGTCATCCAAGCGTCGATGAGGTCCATGGACTCGGGCTGCGCGAGGACGTCCATGACCGCATCGTCTTCCATCGCTTCGAGCGCATGGCGGATGTCGTCCGACGCCGCAGCCAGGACGACGTCGAACGTCACTTCGGGCTTCGCTTCGGCCATCAAATCAAACTCCGGGCGAGCCAGGTCTTCACGAAACCGGTCATCGGTTCGCCTAGCCGACTAGTGGCGGTCATGACCGCCGTATCAGTTCTTGTAACCGACAGAGCGCTTTTATGCCAGCGGATTTTTCGAACCCGACGCACGACCAACCGAGCCAGAGGCTCTTCCCTGCAGCGTACAAGTGTCCTTCTGGATCCCCGTCACGCTGGTATTACTCATTAGGCAGTAGTGTAGGTGATGTGAGGCGAGTACGCTAGCGTTAACCAATAAGCGCCTGTCGCCAGGACGAGATCCTCGGTCGCAACATTTGTCTAGCACCTTGCAGCCTGCGACCACACTGCTGTTGGAAGTCTGACAAGCAGGATACATCGTCCCGTCGCCTTGATGCAGCAAGTGTACGTGGCGTCGTGCGATGCGAGCGCCCGCCTTGGCTTCAACGCGTCGGTTTTTTACACGGTTTGATTGGCGGTTCTATATTTCGCGGGCTGTCGCATGGACGCGCCGAGCTTGTCATAGACACGCAGAGGCGCGCGTTCGGCTCGCGGCGCAAGTTTCAAATTCGATGTGCCGCCCTCTTGTGACGCTAGCGCCCGAGGACGACCGCGTGACGACAGCGTGGCCGCGCGCGAGATGCACGCCTCTGATCGCGTCGCTGCTACAGCGGTCGTGCCGCTACGAGGCGCTCGTGCGCGAAGAGACGTTCACGGCGCTCGCGAGGAAGCTCGAGCGCATGCTCCTGAAAGCGTACCCGCTTGACATTGCCGTCGTATCGGAGGACGAGCTGCGCTGGCGTCTGCGCCACATTGTCCGGCGCCTCCTCAAGTCCAAGGATTGCGTCGCGCTCCAGCCCAACAACTACGCGGCGTCGTAATCGCTCGGATGAATCTATTTACGCGACAAGTTGACTTGTACTGCTCGCGCGTCGTCGATAGCGCGCGGCGCTGTGGGCGACGTACAGCGCGAGAATCGACTCGACTTTTCGCGGGTCGGCGCCGTGCCGAAAGTAGGTAGTCACGACCGCCGAGAGAAGCGCGCGCTCGATGCGCATCGGAAGCGAGTCGTTGGGCGGCGACGCCACAAGGGCGGGGCGGTGGGCGCTGTGGGCGAGGATGCGGGTCACGAGGTTCTCTTCGAGGAGGCCAATGAACGCTGACGCTGGCGGCATCTCTCTCAAATAGGTTTCGAGCGACGCGTCGATCGCTGCCTCGGTGACAGCGAGCAAATCTTCCACTAACGTTGGCGCGAGGCCGGCCGAGAACGGGATCGGAATGCTAAAGTTGACAACACGCACCATGAGCGAAAACTCAATGCGCTGAAGCAACTCGCGCTCGTCCAGGAGACCCAGCGCCGCTCTACACAAAAAAAACATTTCGGCAACGTATCGAGTGGGGGCGATAGTACCGAATGAGCACGGAGAGAGTATGGGTCGTGGCGCCACCGGACGACAAAACACTGTCGATGCTGCGCTCGGGTGCCGCCGCGTCGGTCCACGCAAGCGCCAGGGCTTCTATGAGCACGCGCTCTGCGGTCGTGTCCAAGAACGGCAGCTTTGTAGACACACACGAGGCAAGGCGAAGCTTCAGTTGGTGGCGCATCTAGCACGAGAATCGCATTGGCATTGGTATTCACGCCAACGTTTGTACTTTGGCCGGAAGTCCCCTACAATGCCGGCGTGAAGTACAACATACGATAAGCGCGAAAGCCTGCGTACTCGTCTCGTCGATGCATGGCGGGCCAGAACGAGGCGGGCAGAAGCGCGGCCATAGCGTCGGCAACGGCCCGGACGCTAAACTCGATCACGTCGTAAGCGTCGTCGTCGTCAATGTCCAGGGCGGCGCCAAACACGTCCACAAAGAGGCTGATCTGCGAGGGCGTGAGACCGCGTGGGCTTGGAGCAACGACATCGCCCGAGTCGGCGCGGACGCATCGCCACCAGCCCCCAGTCATCAATCAATGATAGTGCCAGACCACAGTGTGCCACAAGCCTTTACCATGGGTCAATAATAAAGACCCATGCCTCTACACAGGTATCCGGATCCGCCGCAAAACAACAACATTCCGCGTGCCACGTCATTGGCGCCAGCTCCGTCACAAGAGTTTCATGCTGGCAACGATAATGAGCTCAATAGAAAGCTGGAAACATTTTTCTACTAATATCTGGTTTCAATTTTGGCTGGATTTGGGTGACGCCATTCCAAGGGCACCTGGTGCCTTAGGCGGAGCGGCTTGCCGCGACGCCCGCAGGGCCATGGCGCGCTTCG